ACTGCTGGTGGGACTGCAAATTGGTACAGCCACTATGAAAAACAGTATGGAGGTTCCTCAAAAAACTAAGAATTGATCTACTATATGATCCAGCAATCCCTCTACTGGGTATTTACTCCAAAGACTTGAAAACTCATATCTGAAAAGATATTTGTACACTGATGTTCATAGCAGCATTATTCACAGTGGCCTGGATATGGAAGCAACTGAAGTGTGCTATGATAGATGATTGGCTAAAGAAGCGGTAGTACCTATATACAATGGAATATTACTCAGCCATAAGAAGAGATGAAATACTGCCATTAGCAACATAGATGAACCTTGAAATATTCATACTATGCGAAATAAGCCAGATAGAAAAAGTTTAAAATCATATGATATAATTTATATGTGGGATATAAACCTAAAAACAACAAATGAACAGGACCAACAAACAGAGACTGATGGACATGGACTATAGACTAGTTGTTATCAGAGCGTAGGGAGTAGAGGAGGAGGGGGAAGGTAGACGGGGTAAAGTGGGTCAAATATAGGGGGGTAGAGTGTGGGTGAAATGGGTAAATGGGATCAAATATATATTACCTGAAGGAAAATGGACTTTGGGTGGTAAACACACAATAGAATATACAGATGTGAAATTATAATATACACCTGAAAATTATATAATTTTATTAACCAGTGTTACCCCAATAAATTTAGTAAAAAAATTACAGATTCTTGTGAATCTGTATATTCATTGCAGCATTATTTACAGTGGCCAAGATATGGAGGCATTCAGACGGGGGTCCATCAATGGATGAATGGATGAATGGATAAAGAAGAAGTTATACATATATACAGTGGAATATTGCTCAGCCAGAAAAAAGAAAGAAACCTTGCCATTCGCAGCATGGTTGGACCTAGAGGATATTGTGCTGAGTAGAATAAGTCAGACAGAGTTAAGACAAATGTCATATGTGGAATCTAGAGAACAGGATAAACAAACAACAGAAACAAACTTATAGATACAGAGAGCATTTTGATGGTTGTCAGATTGGAGGATGGGGAATGGGTGAAGGGAGAGGGGATTAAGAGGTACGAATTGGTAGTTATAAAATAGTCATGGGGATGTAGAGTATAGCATGGAAAATAGTGTCAGTAGTATTGTAATAATTATGTATGGTGTCAGATGGGTACTGGATTTATTGGGGTGATCATTTCATAAGTTATACAAGTGTCTAATCACTGTATCGTACACTTGAAATTAATACAACATTGTATGTCAACTATAATTGAAAAAATAAAGATATTTTTAAAATTACAAATAAAAATTAATAGTGCTGGAACATCGGCTATCTGTATTTTAAAAAATGTTGTTATCACTCTCCATATGTGAAAATCAATACCAGATGGATTACACACTTTAACATAAGAAATAAAATTCTAAGATTATTAGAAGAAAATATAGGGAATCAATATGACAAAAGCACAGAAAATGGTTTCTTAAACATGTAAGTATAAATACAAAGGGAAATATTAATAAGTACAACCTCATTAAAATTCAAAACTGTAGTACTGTTCTATTTTACATATACAATAAATACTATACTGAGGTGGTATGACAGTATTAACCAAGCTGTATGCCA